ATTTTTGGGAGAGGTGATACAACTTTGAAAATAATTTTGTGTATATTAAGCATTCTTGACATACAAGGCACTAATATTTAGGCAGTGTTCAGGGTAGACAGATTATGTTATACATGCTGCATAGATATACTTGACAATTTTGAAGTCACAGCTTTTAATCACCTTTTACTAAAAAAAGTTTCTAAAATACAGTAAGAGTTATATCTCTACTGTGTAGTTTGAAATGCTGCAGAATGCTTGTTTCAGAACTGTTGTCCAATTATTTCCTGCTGTCTGTCTTCACTAGGCAAGTGGACTGTATATGTATTTCAACATATACCAGCACTGCTCTGCACAACTACTCGATGCTTTATACTCTCCAGCATATAAAAGGCATCTTGTTTCTTTTGAACATTTCACCAAGAGCTGAGTGTAGAAAGCCTGATGATACTCCTTTTCCTTTTCAAGCTGTTTATTCAAGAGCTAGGAAAAGTAGAGGAAGATGGAAGGGTATTCTGACTTTATATACATGCTAATAATCCACAGCAGGTAGTCATACAGAAGCAGTTTGAGATTGCATTTTATGTTATTATCTAGGTGTAAATAAAAAGAGAGCAGAAAAGGTAAGAATAAAGAAAGGTGTAAGATTCTGTCCTTCCTCTTTATGTGTCTACTATCATCAATTGCCATTCCTGTTTACCATTTTCAACAATGACCTGGAGGATGCAAAAGACAAACAATCAGGAGGCAAGGCTGGCATTCAGATGGACCTAGACAGGCTAAAGGATGGGCCAGCAGAAATCTCATGAAATTTAGTAAAGGTCAATGTGTAGTTGGAAGGAGCAACCCCAGCAACAATGCAAGCTGAGATGGATTGGCTGGGGAGCAGCTTTGCAGAGAAGAACCTGGAGGCCCTGGTAGGGCAGCAAATTGTGTTGTGGCAGAGAAGATGGACAATGGCAACTGGGGCTTTACAAAAAGGAGCAGAGCAAAGAGACTGAGGGAAGCCATAATCTCCATTACTTAGCATTTATTATACCATAAGTGGAATACTGTTTTGCACCACAGAATTCAACACCTGGAATTCAATGTCTTAGAAGGATTCTAAGTACAGAATTTATCTATTTTAACAACATCATTGACTTGATTTTTCGTTTTAGGATACAGAGATAAGTATAGTACGAGACGTTACATTTACAGGGTTTCATTACGCTTATGTAAGGCACCACCTCTCCTTGGCCCCAGAGTTTTGTTTGGAGTTAATCTTCCATAAATTGATAGAATAATCTGAGAGCTCTAGTAAGGTAATAGGAAAAAGAATTATTATAGTGCTTGGTTAAATAACATGTTTTGAACTTGATTAAGTCAAAGGATACATAGAGCACATTCTTCATATTGTACAGCATCCCAAAAGAAATTGAAGGTGGTCACAAACTGAAAACTGTCTCTCCTGCTCACACCCAAATAGTGAAACACTAAAACACTAAAAAGGACGTATTTTATTCACAGAAACTGTGAACTTTTCATTTACAACATGTGGAATGGTGGCTATTATAGCATAATTGTCTTTTGATAGTTAAAATAGGCAGTATAGAGGTCAATTCTAAGCTCTATTACTTTATGCAAAAGAAAACTAAGAGAACTCAAGATTTTTTTGATTGCAACAACAACACACCATTTTAATAGGGAATTCAGTGTGATATTACAGTAATCTCTACCTCAAGATCAAAGTTACTGGAAAATAAAAAATAAAAGGCTATCACATCAAGAAATCTGTTTTCTGGAATGGAAAAAGACTAGGCTACAATATGTAAAACTTTCCACTGTACTGACTTCCCACCCTACTTAAACTATGTGGGCAGAATTTAGGTCCTTTCCACATTTAATTTAAAGGAAATATGGAAGGTATTTATTTTAAATTAAATACTGTTAAATTAAATTATCTACCGTTAAATTAATTACTTTAAAATTAAATACTGTTATTTACTCTAAATTTTCTAATAACAACTCCTTTCCTAGTAGTACAGGTCACCTGGGAGAAAACTTTCATATCATTAGTATTGTTATCTTCCTATAAAAATATCTTTATTCCTTTTGCAAATAGAAATTAAAATGTTCCTGCTCAGTGATAATTCTACTCCCATATTCCTTAGCCTACAGATTTACTTTTCTAGCTATTAATTATTTAGAAACAAAAACTCCTTCCCAAAAACTTTTAAGACACACATACTATAAAAACCTTTGACTTGATACATGCTGAGTTTAAAAGGGAAGCCAAAACACACTTTCTTTTTATTATAAATCGTTTATTGTAAAGACATCTCTTAAAAATACTAATTGTGTTACATGAGGTCTTTTAATCCTTTGCACTGTGTAATTCTATGGTTTAAATTCTTAATACAAGAGAGTCAAAATAAATTTTTATAATATTGCACTGCTCTGTTTTAGTGAAGGTCTGCTTTACTAGAATGGAGCATTGCTGGAGCAATAAGCTGTGTGTTTCTACTCATCGCTCTCATCC